TTCATTTACATACTTTGGCTGTAATGGAGGGCAAGTGGGTAGCGTGCACAGTCCAGCAGTTAAGAAGTGAAGGAGTTAATGAAATTGAAGAGTTGAACAGTTAATGAACTGGTAGCATGTATCAGCTACTTCTACACTCATGTACATGTTTATAAGAGTTATATACATCCTGGAGGGCTTATTACTCAGTCAAAAATGAAAACTTCAAGAAGAAGAGGACAGGCAAAAGAATTTCAATTACAACGTAGTCAGAGATGACAGAAAAATAGTACAAAACTGAACTTCACAGTGAGGAGGGTAATAATCTTGTCACGCCTGAGCAAAGAGAACTATAGGAAAATAAACCATCAAGCTCTAGTCAGCTCCATTAGGATAACATAGCAAGTGTGAGTAGAACTGAGACGTGATTCGCAGCATTGAGCTGAAGTTAAACACACGTAATGAAGCACCATAAATGCTTTGTCTTAGCTATCTGCCCTGAGAATTGTCTATAAGAAGTACATGATGAGATGGAGTTCTTCCAACTGCACACAGTCTGGAATCACCTGGGAAGGGAATCTCAGTGAGGGATTATCTGGGTCAGATTAGCCTGTGGGCATGCCTGGGAGGGACTGTTTTCATTATATTAACTGAAATATCCACTATGGGCAACACCATTCCCTGCATTTGGTCCTGGACTGTGTAACACAGGGAGGTGGCTGAGCACAAATAAGTAGGCATGCCTTTTCCTCCCACTATGTGATGTGACCAGCCTCTTCAAGCTCCTACCTATATGCTTTTCCCACAACGATGGACTACGTGACCTGGAACTGTAAGCTAAAATGAACCCTTTCTCCTGTAAGTTGCTTTTTGTCAGGCAATTTTATTGCAGCAACAGAAATGAAAGCAAGACTCAGACCACGCACAAGAGGTCAGCCCAGCCATGGCATCTGGTGAGCAGCATCAGCTCAGCCCACCAGCATAGCACGTGGTTTCAGACTGCCAACATCTTCCTGCTGAGTGAACTTCTTATTCCATTGGATGCAAACATGCACTCTGAATCCCGGCAGAGGCATTTTCTTATATTTTGTCTTTTTTATAGCAATCTCCAGCTTATCATATAGACAGATATTTAGTATAGTAGGCTGACTTTGAAACACGCCGTGTGCCTGGCCAGAAGTGGGGAATGGACACCTCAACTTTATTCTGCTTTGCCCATAACATTGTAGCAGCTTGTTAAAAGGGGCTCTGGTGGTCTATTCTAATCCTCAGTTAGATCTTCCTGGGGAATTTTTACAGTTGACATTCCTCTTACATCCCTTCACAACATTGCCAGGGATCATGTAAAGAAAGTGCTCTTGACTTTTAGGAGATGATTTCATCACATAAGAAAAAGTATGAAGTCGACACAAAGTTGGACTTCACCAGGGCAGGGTTTTGCTTTCCACGGTAGGAAATGGAAAAAAAAAAAAGAAGTGGTGGCCATATGGCAGGAGTGGTGGCCATAAAGCCTCATAAAACTGAGCTGTGTGTGGGTCTGAGGGGTGGGGAGAGATGACAGGAGCAGTGGCTTGGAGCCACCAGTGGGAATTGAAAGAAAGAGAGGAGACTAGGCCAGTGACACAGTAAGCTGGAAATTCAGATTGTTAGAGGAAAAACATCATGGGTGGTGACAGGTTCTGGGGAGACCCTGGAGCAAGTGGTTCAGGTGGGGTTGAAAAGAGATCATGGGGTATGAACAAGGAAGGCACTAAGGAAACCATGTCGCAGGCACCATTTTTATATTGCAATTGAATTTCCCTCAAACAAATAAATAAAATAAGGGAGAAAAGGAGGATATGAAGGTAGTGGACTACTTACTACAGTTTTCCAATGGAAGGAGTTCATAGGTCAACTGTATCATGAGATGGGTAGGTCATGGTAGGCTCTGGATGCACTTAAAAATCAATATTAAGCATATAAATGAACATTCTACTAATATATATGAGTTTCCCAGAATAGAGGTAATATCAGATATCACTAATGTATATGAAATAGCAGAGAAAACTCCAAAAATGCTTTTATATACTTAGGAGTGATACAGAAAATTTTTGTGACTGTAAATATTTTTTCTACTTATAGAATTGATCAGAACTGCCAGTTACCTTCTTATTCAGGCACTATTAAGGGATCAAATGAGAACATTGAGGAGGTGATGGGTGCAGAACTTGATACACAGGAGGCTCTTGGGGGAAACTGATGGTTTTCTGTGCAGAGAAAGATGGGACCACCTGAAGTAACTTCTATATCAAGGATTCCTTCACCTACATTGGTACCTTGCCATTTGTAAGTGATTGTTTTTCTAGTATTTATGTGAAGAATTCCTTATTAAGAAATAGGAGGTTGGAGAGATGGATGAGCATCCCTATATTCCTAAAAATGCCAGCTGGTGCAGCAGCTGGCTAATAAATCCCTAGAGCAAACTAAGACTAGCCCTAAGGGTGATATCCAGGTTCAGCAATAAGACCATCTCAATCAATAAATGGACAGCAACTGAAGGGGGCTCTGGGCCCCCAACATACACCAGTACTATTCACAAACATGTGCCCTCAACACATGTTAACACATACACACACACACACACACACACACACACACACACACACACACACCACGGGGTAAGGGAGCAACAGATATTCTGCTTCCAGAGGTTACATACACTGGTGGAGGTGGGAATATTATGGTTGTTGTTAATACAACTGACTAGTAATGGTTTTATAATCATGGATACATACTAAGAAACTAAATCCTGAACCAAATGCATAAACACAGTAAAACAAACAAAAAACAAAACCCTAACTCTTAAAGTTAGAAGGCGAAAGACAAACTAAGAACATTATTCACAGCATATAGGAAGGAAAAAGAATACTCAAAAAGGTGTTATAAAATAATGAGGAATATATAAACAATAATTTTAAAAAGTTAAGAATGTGAAAGGGGACTAAATTATAAAGACTAATAAATATATAAGAACATGTTTTTTTTCAGGAGGAAAGACCTCCCAACCACTAGGAATGAGAATCGGAACTACTGAATTTTGGTTGACAGTTGACATTAAAAACAAAACAAACAACAACAGCAAAAAAAAAAAAAACCAAACAAACAACCAAAAAGCCAACCTTAATAACATTGTTTTTTGAGGCAACATCTTTCTATGTAGCCCTGGCTGGCCTGAAACTCTAAGTAGACAGGCTGATCTCAAACTCAGAGATCCACTTGCCTCTGCCTCCTGGGATCAAAGGTGTGCACCACCATGTCCATCCTAATATGCATTCAAACATTTCCTTTCTGAGAACCTATTCTAAGGAGGTAAGTAGACAAATAAACAAAAAAAAAGATATTTATCTAGGGATTAGTAACAGCAGAAAAATACTTAGAAGTATTAGAAGTCATGAATAGATTTGCAATAGATTTTTGAATGAAAATGTAAGACCGCATACTTTTGTATGAAAACTCTGTGTGTGTGTGTGTGTGTGTGTGTGTGTGTGTGTGTGTGTGTGTGTGTGTGTGTGTATGTCTGTGTCTGTGTGTCTGTGCATCTGTATCTGTGTGGATAAGCCCCCAAATATCTGAAAGTCCCCAAATGGGTCAGTGATTTTGAGTGCAGGAATGTGTTGATACATTTGTTTTCTCCTTATTGTTGAACAGTTTGGATTGTATACAAGGACCATTTCCAACACTGCTGAGATCTTTGTTCATGTCCCTGCTCTGCCCTGAACCCCTCTTACTTCCACTCTCTGTTCTAATGTACACCCTAGAAAGTCTTTGTTTATCACTCTCCTTGGAATGGAAGCACCGCCACTCTCCTTCATACTTCAGCCCCTTTCCCTGCATTAGTTGGTGCTTAACACCAACTAATATATTTTCATTTCATTTGTTTATTTATTTGTATGACTTCCTCACCTGCACTAGAGAGTAACCTCACAAGGGCCCAGTGCTGAGAACAGTGTCAATGATCATGAATTTAATAAGTAAGTGATGAATTGGTAAATGAAATAATGTCCATTCTAAGCTGAACATTGTAGTTGGGGTTTTCTCCAGTCCCACTCGGGCCTGCAGCCACTCAGACCCAAGTAAACACACAGAGACTTGCATTGCTTATGAACTGTATGGACGTGGCAGGCTTCTTGTTATCTAGTTCTTATATCTTAAATTAACCCAATTCTATTAATCTATAAGTTGCCACATGGCTTGTGGCTTACCGGTACTTTACATCTTGCTTCTCATGGCGGCAGTGGCTGGCAGTCTTCTGACTCAGCCTTCCTCCTCCCAGAATTCTCCTCTCTGCTTATCCTGCCTATACTATACTTCCAGCCTGGCTACTGGCCAATCAGCATTTTATTTATCAATCAATCATAGCAAAACATTACAGCATACAGAAAGACATCCCCAGCAGAACATCCTACAAAATAATTCCCAGAAAATACCTTAAGGGGAGGAGAATTATTCACTTATAGACACTTGGAGTTTTGTTTAGGTCCACCTCTATCAAAGAGAAAATTTTTTACTAACATTCAGGTTAATTTTTATGTTAAATTTTACTTAGCTAAGTAGTTATGAGTTTAACTAGGCTCTGGCGGTGGGGCTTACATCCATTTTCTCTTTTGAATCTGTGATCATCACTGAATTAAATAACTTGTACCCAAGACTGCTGAAAGTCCATTCCCCCAATGTGTTACCTATTTCAGGGAAAATTCAAGGAAGAACCCAGAAATTTCATGGTGGAAAAAAACCCTGAATTTCCTTCTTATCGAGTTTGTGAATATTGTTTCCTCTGGTAAATAGGGAGACGGCACTTCCCCCTCCTCAATACCTGAATTAGGACCCGATGAGTTCTCTGAATTTAGGGCTAGAAACCCTTAGAAAGATACACCCACCACTCCAGTGATATCGGGTGCTTGGACTTCATAGTGCTGCTGTATCTGTTTAGAATATGAGAGAAAATACTAGGAAAAGAAGAGCAATCCCAAACTTGGATTCACCTGTTTGTTTCTCAGCGGCTGGACCACTTCTCTGACGCACAGCTCCAGATCCGTGACGTAGTCCCTCTCCGTCTGTATCAGCTCCCCGATGATTTTCGCCCGCTTTGCCATCATCCTTTGCATCTGCTGCTCTTCCTCAGGGGTTTGGGTCTCAGCCGAGCAGCGCTCAGTCTGTGGCGTCATCTTTTCTGTTAAACAACATGTTCAGGTGAGATGATCTGCCGACGTTTCTTTTTCCTCCAGAACATACATACAGTGCAGGGTTGTTGTTAGCCAAGCAAAAGGCTTAGCTATCTTTACTGTGGATTCCAGGAAGTCCTATGTTAGTTCTCCACTAGATAGGAAGCCTATAAAATCATAAATAAGATGAAGACAAGAGAGAACTACTTCTACAATGTTATGAAATGATATTCAAATGTCATGGCTTCTGACACATCCTGTTGCTAGAATCTCAGTCTACAAAGTTTACCTTCAGTTTGGAGATAGAATGTATAAAAACTCAACTCAGAACTTCTGAACATGTCTGCTTTTGAAAATGAGGAACATTTTAATTAGGAAGCGAAATGCCTCCCAATTCTTTTTGTCCCTATTACTAAAACTAAAAACTAAAAAGTCAGTAATACTCAATGGAATGAAAATCAATTGAATGTGATTGGGTTTTTTTTTTCTTTTCATTCATAATCAGAACCCATGAACAGTGAGACAGTGGGGGATTAAAAAATTTCAACTACGATTTCTCATGGATTATCTGATATTGTGTAAATCTTGTTATTTCTTAATTATTGAACCAACCTGTTTGTTTGTTTGAAGTCATGGTATTGAGAGGTTGAAATAAATGGTATGTCTCATATGCAGCCAAGTCTCATATGCATACCCATCATTTGTATGGGATATTAAGGCAAGAAAGTTAAAATCATCAAGGAAAAACTTCTCACAACAATGTGAAACTCTGGAAGCTACAAACTAACTGTCCACCATAAGTTCAGACCAGGACCTGAAATCAGAGAAGTCATAGACATCAGGGTGCTCTCTCTCTCTCTCTCTGTGTGTGTGTGTGTGTGTGTGTGTGTGTGTGTGTGTGTGTGTGTGTGTGTGTGTGTGTGTGTGTGTCTTATTCAAGACTGAAGCTTAACTTATATGTCAGTCTCTGAAGTTGGACACATAATTTTATATCATTTAAGATTAATATTATTCTTGTAACTGATATGTGAGAAATCTTCAATGTTAATAAAATAAACATTGCAAAAGGATCTTGAAAACTCTACAGAAAATAAAAAGGTACAAACCACAATATGTACAAGAGGAAATAAACAGAGCTCTTTACCTGGTTGGCCCTGGAAATGGAGCTAATGGGCTGCTGGAGGAGGGTTCAGGAGAGGAATCAATGGTCTGTAATAAAGAGGCTTGCCCAAGAAGGCAAAGAGCCTTCCCTTCCTGCCTGCCTAACTCTTGCAATCTAGAAAAGCGCATAACCAAACATTTCTGGAGAATGTTGTAAAGGAAACTCCAACATCAGATTGTACTAGAACTGGCATCAATCCTTCTGTCATTAGGAAAGACCATGGCTTTGACAAGTGACATAAAAACACGTGATTTAACAAACTTAGACCATTCCATGTTAAAGAAACAATCTCCAGGGGCTGTATCAACAGACAGAATCTATATAAGGAGAATGAATGTCAGGGTGGGGGTGTTCTGTAGCCTTCATATTTTTATTTGTTAAGGGAATTTTGGGTATGCTTGTTAATCAGTACAGATTTTAATAGACAGTGGCATAATCCTGTATTTCAGAGCCCCCAAATTAAAAGGACAAGTTATACCCAGTGCCGTTACTATTAGTTCTATGTGATGTGAAAGCAAGAAAGTCCTTTGTCTGGGAAGACACAGCAGTGAGCAGCCATGTACACAGCTATTGAGAACCTTTAAGGATTCTTATTGTTGTGATTTTGTTTTGAGGTTAGGGTGAACTTGAATTCTCTAAGCAACTGAGGATGACCTTAAATTTTTGGTCCTCCTGACTCTGCCTCCTATGTGCTGGGATTACAGTGTATACCACCATGTCTAATTTTTAAATTTATGCAATACTATGAATCAAACCCAGGGGTTGTACATGTTAAACAAGCATTCAAATGACAGTAGCAGTAGCAGGAACAACAAAGACAGGGAAGTAGTTTTAAAGTTTTTTAAAAAATATTGTATATACTTAAAGGTATACAATATCATTTAAATCACATATATAGAGAAATGACTTGATAGGGGCTGTGAGACAGGGTAGAGAGAGACTGACAACATGTAAGGAGTCTTTACTTCAGAGATATATGAAATATAGCACAGAAAATCATGTCTCTAGCAGAGTGTAGAATATTAACTAAGGTGTGTTACTTTTGTTTATGTTGCATTTGTTTAACTATTAAGCTGTATTACTGTGCCTCTCCAAAACACCTGATGGGCTAATAAAGAACTCAATGGCCAATAGCCAGGCAGGAGAAAGGATAGGCGGGGCTGGCAGGCAGAGAGAATATTTAGAAGGAGAAATCTAGGAGACAGAAAGAAGTAGCCAGAGAAGAAGGAGGACTCCGGGACCAGCCACCCAGCTACACAGCAAGCCACAGAGTAAGAATAAGATTTACAGAAGTAAGAGAACAGAAAGAGCCCAGAGGCAAAAGGTAGACAGGATAAATTAAAGCAAGTTGGCAAGAAACAAGCCAAGCTAAGGCCATTCATTTATAATTAAGAATAAGCCTCCATGTGTGATTTATTTGGGAGCTGGGTGGCAGGTCCCCAAAAGATCAAAGACCAACCAACAATGGCTGTGAGCAGAGAGCTCACAGCCAACCCTAACACTAACCCTGAGTCCACTTACTTAACATTGTCTTGAAAACTAGACAAACACACGTTACAAAAACAATCTTAGAACCTAACAAGGACCTTTATCTATCTTTGTCAAGGTAATACCCCTAACACATGTCCCTAGACTCCTTCCAGTTCTAAATTCCAGTCCTCAATTCCATGTCCACTTCTTCCCGACCTGTTCCAGTTGCTGTACTTTAAGACATACTACAACAGATTTTTTAAAAATTAAAAATGACATAGTTTTTTTTTCTAGTGCTACATAGCAGCTCAGTCACAGCTGTGGACCCTGGGGGCCTTTTGGTTGATATAAGATGTTGGTCAAGATATTCAGTTTCAAAAGCGTTTCTCAGCAGCAAAAACCTTCTCATAGAATTCAGAGTTGAGCAACCTTCTAGATATCTTTGTTTGCTCTTCTGACTCAAGTTTATGACAGGAACAAAGACTCACCTTGCATCATTTTATGGTCAGATCTCCAAACATTTTGATGTTTGCCTGCATTCTTAAACTAACGACTTCTCTACACAATGTATTGTGGACACCAAGTTTTGTTTTAACAAGCTCCTTCTCGCCTTTAAAACTTTTTTGTGCATTTGATTTATACCATGTTTTACACAGAAACATATCTGTAGCACAGCCCAGCCAATAGCTACCACCACAGTCAGCAGGCAGCTGTAAAACCAACATGCAGCCCAGACTAAAAGAACATTTACATTCTTATAACCAAAAATAACAATACCCTTGGTTGTTAAAGGAGGAATGTGTGGCAACTCTTTCCGCCATTCTCCACCTCTGTAGCCTGCAAACATTCTTCTTGGAGCTCTGGTGATGAACTTGAACCATTTTTATCAAATTTAATTGTTAAACTTTGTGAGCATTCACAGTCAAGGATGAATGACAGCTGCCAGAGCGCTGTAGAGAAGACAGAAATCACGGAGCATCTTATGTGGAAGCTCCTCGGGATCCTTAACACAACACAAATGTTAAGCTTCCCTACAGGCAGATCATCCACAGAGATCTGGGATCTTTAAAGAAATGCAGATGATAAGCGAACCCTAGGCCAGGAAGCCATGGGATTCTTTATTCTATACTGTTCATGTTGGTTCTCATTTAAATCTCTGGTGTTAGTAACATGTGAAAGCATAAATATGCTCTGCTCTGTGCTTCACTTCCTGTGCAGCACTCAGCACATGGCATGAAACAGCCACACTTTAGTGTACAGGACACTTGCTGTTAGGGTCTTTTGCCCAAATATAAGATAACATGAGAATTTGGAAAGCTTGTGAAACAGTCTAAATTAAACTGCCATGTTTTGCTAATTATTTGAATTCTCCTTTTACACATCTTCATTTTGTGATCAGTTTTATTGGGACATAATCCATCCCATATCCAAAAATATATTATTTAGCTTTCTATCACCCCAGGGCAAATAGTTATCCCACTGTTTTATGATTGACAACTAGTCCAGAAAAACAGTTTGTTCCTAACATGGACAGATAAGACGGGAGAGAAGGAGGAAAATCTGGAAGTCTGTGTGAGGACTGAGATGGACTTTAAAACCCTGAGAACTCACTGGGGAGGGCACATGCATGAGGAAGACCCTGGTCCTTTATGGATACAAAGGATATGAAAAGATGTCCAATGGCAAGGGAGGTGGCAGGATGGGGAAGCAAAGGCTTCCTTCACTGGTAGCCAGGTTCTACATAGAATTAGTCTGCACAGAATTAGTGATGTGTTTGTTGCTGCTAATATTGCTGCTTCTACTGCTCTCTGGGGGTAGACTTAACAAGAGATTTTTTTCAAACTGTGAAGTAATATATATTTATAACAACTATTGTCAAAGGTAAGTACATAGACTTCGGAGCCAGGAAATGTGGGTTTAAACTTTGACCTGACCATTTATTAGAGCTGTAATCTTCAGCAAACGCTTTAACACTTTAGAGGTAAAATTCCTCATCCGTAAATTAGGATAATGATAGGAAACATTAGAAAGAAGTTTTGGGAATGAAAATAATTGATGTTCATTAAACATTTGCAAAGTGTAACATATTTATAGCACATGTCAGGTAAATGGTTGTTATGATTAGCTGTGTTCTCTTTTGTAGTTGTAATAAGGTTTTCACTGGATTAATAGCTGTTTTATAGTTTAGTGTATAGCCTCTCACAAAATGTTTTCAGGCATGGACAGACATATGATTATAATAGTTCATTTATTTTATTTTTAACAGTAGTAAGTTCACACGCATCTTCTGCAACTTTTGTACTTTTAAAGTGATCTTTATTTTTAAAACAATTTTCTTTAAAAATAGTTTTAACTTATATTTATTACTATTATTGT